CCACGTATTAATGATCTGGTAGTTTTTCAAGGATATCTTGAAGTGACACTTCAGAAATATGATCAACTGTTGGAAGAATAAAGAAGGCTTTTTTTGTTTTTTTCAAGGTCTTTGCTTCCAATAAGACTACAAACAACCACTATTAGAGTTGGAAGTTACTGGAAGAGAAAAGAGGAAGTTTATAGAGCAAGATTATGGTTGGCAGACGACTTAAAAAATTGAGAATTATATGAATCAGAAAAACAAGATGAAAGAAGCAAACTCCAAAGAACTGATGTTCAAGGAAAAAAACTAGATGAATAAGAGCTTTTGAAGCCCTTAGGAACAGTCACAGTAAAAGGATGCGACTTAATTGAATGAGGAGTAACATGAGAATGAATATTAGTAGATGGCACAAGAGATGCTAGCTCTGTAGAGCAGTGCCCATTATAGTATTTGTAGAAAAGAGAAAGAGAAGCAATATTACGACAATCCTTGTCTAAAAGAAAAAGGCACTATTAGAAGATCCGCCCCAGATATGGCAACAGTCTATACAAAGATGAATTTAAGATTTATAAAGATAAAGAAAAGAATCCAGAGAAAGTGTTGAGCATAATAAAGAAATGCAACCTTAGTAGATTGCTATTTTTGCAATCGATTTGATATATGATTTCCAAAAAAGATTGGAAGTAAGAATTAATCCTAGAAGAGAAATGGTAGATGACTCATTGAGTACATCACCGTTCATAAATAAAGGAATATCTAAATTATTGTGGTAACGATTGGCTGAAAAAAATAGGGTTTTATCTAAGTTAAAGTTCACCACCAACTGTGAGCCCCATGCTGTAGCAGAAGTGAGATCCTTTTCAAGCTCAAATGTTCCCATCAAAAACCTTGCTTATGATGGGAAGAAGACTAATGGAACGGTAGTTAGACGAGTCAGATTGCTCTCCAAAATTTTTGAAAATAAAAATAACAGATGCCACTTTCCAGCATGCCGGAAAACAAGACTCCGATAAGCACTTATTAAATAGTTTTGAATAGTTAAAAAACAGCTCTGGAGAACACTTCTGCAAGGCTAAAACTGGTATGTTGTCTGAACCACAAGCTGTAGAAGAGTCTAAGCAGGAAATCACTTTAGATACAGAAGCTGGATTGATAAAAATGTCAAGCAATGGATCTACCTGTTTGTTGGCAATATCAGGTAGAACGCAACTAGTGGAATCAAGGGACGATATTGATGAAACGTTCTAATAAATGTAAAATAAGTTTAATAAATGATATCTCAAAAAAACTCTCACCCACTGTGCTTAATGCTAATAATTTTTCCAACATTAATAACTAAACTTTTTTTAGTAGTAAGTTTGATTAAAACGTAACCACTGGGAATCAATTTGTTTTGATTTTGAAACAAGATCTCATTTGTAAAACCACTGATGTCATCCATTTTACTATATGTTAAGTCACTACTCAAGAAAGTTGCATTACCTGCCTCATTAGATGGACTTACACTAGGTATCTTACTGCAAGCTTTTTTGGCTGCAATTGTTTGCATTTCTGGTAAGTTTTATTTTTCTTTGCAAGTTTATATCTTTTTCTTTGGCAAAAGACTTTACAGAAGAAAATCTTTAAAAACTCTACCTTCTTTTACAGAAGTTAATTGTTAAAATTAATGCTTTTCCTTCTTTTACAGAAGTTAACTGTTAAAATTAATGCTTTTGCTTTTTTTCTTCCACCTCTGGACGGAATGAAAAAATACATGTACATTGAAATCCTGAAACTATATTTTTAGGTATAAATGCTAAAGGGAACGCAATACTAAGCAAGCTTAAAATGTCATTAATTGTTATAGGTTTACCTGTGTTGTTCACCACAAAAGAACTTGCAGCATGTTTATAGAAGGATTTAAGTGGTCAATTGACAGTTCTGTCTAAAGGTTGTAGCTTGTGGCTGCAGTGAGGTGGCAATGTCCACATGACAACCCCCTTTTTTTTTTGCTAGATTAGTTGTCTTAATAGAAAGGTGTCTCTTAAGATTGTCCAAAATCAATAAGACTGGTTGCTCATTTGAACATTTTGTTGATGTAATAAAGTGTTAGAACATTTTGTTGATGTAACAAAAAAATAAAAACTATCAGCTGTCATCCAACCTGACATGGGAGTTGTCCCGACTGTTCCAGGTGGAGCACCATGTACTATTAAGTCTTTAAAATGCACCCTAGGAAACACCATAAATGGAGGAATCACATTTCCTATAGCATTTAATGCGGCAAGCATTGTAACCAGAATACCTCTCGTTTAAAAGTAATTTCTCCTACATGGCATTATAGATGTCATTAGGATTAAAATTATTTTTTTGAAGAATTTCTTCCGGATTTTTTAAAAATTCTGCAATATTTATTTTATTAAAACTTGTTACATGTGACAAACTGGTTGCTCCTGATCTACGTAAAGAAAGACCTTTAAATCTATTTATAAAACTATACAACCAATCTGTAATGATTGTTATACAAAACAATTAACTAAATAAATAATTATTAAATAAAAATCATAGTCGGAATTGTCTTTATAATAAATATAAAGACAAAACATTACACAATCTTCTATTTTTAACAAAACTATTTTTTTAGAAAAATAATATTTATAAAATATTATAAAGCCATAATAAAGTAATACATTAAAATTTCTTTTACTTTATGAAATTAAAAAAAGCTATTCCAAATTTTTATCAATTATATTCATATATTCAAAATTTGTTAGAAAAAAGTTATTAAAAAAGATAACACAATATAACTTGAAACTAAGAAATTATTTTTTATGTAGTTTGTTTGTTAAAAATTTAATCTTTAATATCGTTAAAGAGTAAATCAACCAATTCACTGTACCCGATTCACTGTGCCGCACCATAACAAATTAAGTTCAAGTCTAATTTCTTTGGACATGAGTGTTATTAAAGGAAAAGCTTAACTACTAGAAAAAAGTATAAAATCAATAATCCGAATAAAATTTTTTGAAGTTATCTCAACCATGATCTCCATAATAAACATAATGAAGGTAAGAAAATTTACTTTAGTTAAAAACAAAAATTACCTACCAAAAATGGTGTCAAAAATTATGTGGTAACAACTATAAATAAAGATGGCTGATAAAATGATTATATTATCATGATGAAAAAAATCTTAATCTTTAAGAAAATGCTTTTAATCACTGTGCCCCTTGATCCACTGAACCCCACCTTCTCCTATATTAAATTATATTACAGGATCTTGCATATTACATGTTAACTAAATTTTAAAGATTGCTTGCAGTCCACAGTAAGATTTTTGGTGTTTTTATCGCAAGCAATCGTTTATTTTGCTAACCAGATATTTACAGAAATATCTTGCTTGTTTAAATTAATAACTCAATGACGGCAATTTCATGAAACTGCCGTCATCTTTACTACTATTTTTACTCTTTACTACCTCCTCCCTTATACCTATGTATGTACTTTACTACCTCCTCCCTTATACCTATGTATGTACTTTATGGAAGTCTCCTAAGTTTGATTTTGTTTCTCTTTGCTCTTGTTTGACGGCCAATTGTCAATTTTTTCTTAAAACCATTTTTCTATTACTCAAATTTTGATCTTGCAACAGCAGCCAGGAACATAGTTTTAGTAACAAAATTCTTTTATTTCACATGTTGTTCGCGTACATCAAGATCTGAGTCTTTTGTCAAGTATCATTTTTCACATGAATGTGCATTTTTTACATGAATGTATGTGATAAACATTTTTTCAAACTGATTTGTACCATTTTTGAAAAATTGTAACTGAAAAAGATTTAATACGCTGCTTTCTTTTTTGATCTGTTGAAAAAAGTTTAACAGCCTATTGAGCTCAAGACATTTTTTAGACGTCTGTGTCCAATGGGAGGTGACCTCATACTTAAAACCAGTCTTAAGTGGAAGATAAAAGATTTTGTTGTTGGAATACTTAAAGGTCCTGACAATACTCAAAATTATCTTTTTTTCAAGGGATCTTACTGATTCGATGTTTTATTTGAAGATTTTTCTACTTTTGTTCAGATCTTACATCTTTTTTGGAGCATGCATTTAGTAGCGAATTTTCGCTACTAAATGCATGCTCCAAAAAATAACGACGAAGGTTATTGATTGTTTTATTGCAAACGTTGAATTTCTTAGCAGCTTTTAAAAAAAAATTTTATCCAAATTTCTTTAAGCTGAAGAAAATATGTTGTTTCTAAAAGTTACGTATAATGTTATTTCTGTAGAAAAATGCAATAAAAACATCAATTCAACACCTGA